AATACATAAGCATTTATTATATTCTAAAATCACATTTATTATAATAATTGGTTTTATATACTACAATATTTCCTAGCATTATTTCCAAAATATTCTCTTTAAAGAAGAAAACACACAATAATTTATCCACATGAATAGACAAAACTCACTATTTAAATCCTGAATTCATAAAAAATCTATTGATTTTGTTCAAAATTGTCGTTTGTTGCTGGTAAGCATGTTCAGCAAAGCTTGCTTTTCCTTTTTTCTTTTTGCGAACCACATCGAGGGATCTGTTTTTCCAGCAACTCTTTCTCAATTTGATGGACGGACTGCCCACATAACGTCCTGGAAAAAAGATATATATAGTTCTACTTATTCTTTTACCGAAATGAAGATAACTATTGTTATATTTACCGCGATTATAATTTTGGCACATTCGGCAAATACATATTTATCTCGCAATTCGCGAATATAAACATTCAAAAATATTTTCATCAACTTAAAGTTATTTCTGTCAAATGCTCGAATCAAAATCAGAATTGTGAATCAGCGCTTTGGAACTTTAGGTTATTTGTGGGCGAGAATCGTTTAGGAACAAATTGAGAGGTGCATCATTTACCGAGATAAACGATAATTGATTTAAATTTAACATATTTTGAAAAATAATTTTTAGATTAATTTTAATTTAATCAGTTAACAACTGTGTCATTCTCATTTAAGAGTAAGCTATGATATGAGTATATCGTCAATCACATAGTAAGATGGGCTTTTAAAACAACGGATGAGAAAGATGGGTTTATTTTTAAACAGTAGATACTAGATACGTTATTTAAATACTTCCACATTTCGGGAAGTTCATGCTACATGTCTGAAGGTAAAATACCACTTACAATTACTTATTTTATACAGTCACATATTTATACATTTTTGAATACTCGTATACTTAGTTTTTTCTCAAAAATTTCAAGTTGAATAGCGAAATGATATGTTTTAAACGCATGGCGAATATACTCGTCAATATACAAAATTTTGCTAAATTTCCATGACGAAAATTTTCGATAACCGCAGTTAACCGATTAAAAAATTTAATATATTGATATATAAATAATATATCAGCAATGAAATGAATTCGCATTGATTTGCTTTATAGCAAAAAAACGGCTGCACCGTTGGAAACTTTGAAATAACTAAATCTCAATTCTTATTGATTGTATTATACATGTCTGCAAAATGCTACTATAAACTATAGTTTATTCATAATTCGACATGTTGGCTACTAGTTATGAATTATATATATAGTATATAGTATATTATATATATATCTATAATATATCTCTAAGAATAAACGTATGTTGTTTATAGAGACAAATGTTGTAAATAATACAATCTTTAATAAAATGTAGTTCATAAATGAGATACACGTGACGCGAATTAGATACAAAACTATAAAATTTCGATAAGCGAGTGTTTGTCTCTATTTTTTATCAAACATTTTGCGAAAGAAAATCATAAATTGATTAATAGTAAACCCAATTAAATTTTTACGACTTAGCGCCGGCTAGTCGCCTTAAAACAAAAACAATTCAAATTGATTAACTGACTAAAAGAGTTCGACTTATGTAAAAAGAATCATCAAGAATGGGATGGAATGAGTTTATTCATTAATTTATAAGAATTTCTTGATCTACTGCCCGTAGAGTTCAAAAAGGTCGCCTCGTAAGTGAATTTTTAGTGGTGTCACGACCCCGACGGTATAATATTCAATATTTTTAATATAACGAGAGTTATTAATAGATCCATAATGGTTTTCTGGAAGCGCAGAATGTCAATGAAATCAAAATCAAAACGATATCATTGGATGACAACTGTACTCTGTCAGATCAGCAAAATTGCACTCGCCACGTCTTTAATTATGAACTAAATATGCATATGAACTTATAATTTAAATCCGTATCATGATAAAATAACTAATACTTTTGCTTCAAAAATCATTTGTGCTATTAATTAACACTCGCTTAAGTTTAGGGTAGACCATTCAAAGTGGAAGCACCTTTTAAAGTCCTTATCCTTATCGAGTTTGAATTTTTTGAGATCGGTTGAGCCATTATTAAGAGAACATCCACAAAAGGTCAAAAACTTCTCCTTGGAAAGTTAAAATTGAACAATTAGTTAAAATCTTGCATATCTTTACGTTTTATAGTTTCTGTACATTTTAGCATACCTTAGGGGGCGTCCTTTAATCACATGAGGTTTTAGGTTTGACAAAAAATCATGGTGGAGGAAGCTGTCTAGTAAAATATCACGTGTATTTACTTTTTATATGAATTTTCAAAAAAAAATATGATTTTTCGTAAATTTTACGTAACTAGAACTACACGTGATGTTCAGTGGGAGAGGAGGGGTAATTTTAAATATCACAAAGTATCACCAAGTGGGAGGGAGGTCCAAAAATCCTATAAAAACCGATCACGTGATTATCGACGTCCTCTTAGAAAAAATGAATGTATGTGTATGTATGCGGATACAAATTTTCGTCGGAACACGGATCAACCGATTCGAATAATCGAAAAACATTCGATTCGTATCATTCGGAAGACCAGCTGATTAGTTTTTGGTAAAAGTAGGTCCACACGTTTCGAAGATACAGAACAAAAAGTGCCAAAAATGCTAATTTAGTTTTTGAGAGAACGGAGAATCGCAGACAGGTCCAACGGTTTTGGAAAAATAATAAAAAAGAAAAAAAAGCCATTGGGGGGTCGAAATCGTCATTATCAAATCAAATATTTTATGAAAATATTAATAACTACAAATTTTATTGATCTATGGGTTCCGTACTAATGTTTATCCGCTTCGATAGTTCGTCTCTAAAACAGCTGCATGCTTTGAAAAAAGTTGACAATATAAAAAAATCTAATTTTTCAAAAAGGTCATTTTTTTCAAAACAATGTTTTTTTTTTAATTTTAATTTCGATACGAGAAGTTCCAGCAATTTTTCTTAAGGCGCGATGCCATGCATTAATACTTTGATATTTATTTATATAAATTATCTCCACTGCTTCCGAACCAATTATATATGTATATATATATAACGATCATTACATTATTCGATTATTTATAGAAGCATAATGTTATTTTTGTAAAAACACATTTCTATATGACGCAGACCGTGGTGATTTGTAAACGCATCGTCATTCCTTGACTTTACAATATCTGGTACAAGAATTTCAAATATTTAGCTGGCAGGGAGTAAATAGCTTTGTAAATGAATAAATTTCAGCCAAAACAAAATTATATTCAGTTTAACTTTGATACGATTCCAGATGTAAATTTGGATCAACTTTAGACTTAAATAAGACCTCTGACTAATTTTTGTTTGCTTGTTCCATTTCTCCTGAACTTGAACCAAAACTTTCGTTCAAATTATGAAAGTGCATTGCCAATGGCATCTTCAATAATGTGCTAGATTTTTTTTTATTAAGTTCAACTATCTAAAGTATTATTTATTTCAGCCTTGAATTCAATTCATCGCTTGTATTCAACAAAAAAATCTATGAATAAGTCAGTGATTTCTATGCATTTTCTTTAAAATAATGTTTGCTTTATTTAATACTTTGATTGCTATTAAAATTTAAATTAAAAAAATAAATACGTATGCTCAAAATCGTAATTTTGATTCTATTAAAAAAATTCAATCAGAAATTTTACATAAATATATAATATTTTAATCTTATTTAAACAATTTTATTCGAAATATATGGAGTTAGTTGCTCTATATAATTAAAAAGTATTATTTAATTAAAAACTAAGGACTCAATATTTCTATGAAAAAAATCATCATAAATTTAACTCAAATATTGTAAATTATATGAAGAATATCATAAAAATCTAAAAATTAGTAAATTATATGAAATTGTCATGAATAGAATCGTTAAAAATACAATTTGTCTATAAATTGTCTATAATGTTGTAAACTGCACTATAATTGTGTAAATTGTCTAAAAACGTTGTAAATTGTTTTAAAATTTTGTAAATTGTCATAAACAATCTTACAATATTGCAACTTGTGTAGAAATGTTTTAAACTAAACTGTACAAAAATTTTGTAAATTGTCTGAAAATGTAAATTATATCAAAATTTTGTAAATTGCACTAAAACTTCGTAAATAGTATCTAAATATGATATAAATTATTTAAAAAAATTGTAAATCGTATGACATTGTAATGAATAGTCTTACAATATTGCAATATGTCTACAAATATTGTATATTTTATGAAATTTTTATAAATTGTCTATAAATGTTGTAGTTTGTCTGAAATTGTTGTATTATAAAAATATTATAATTGTCCATAAATGCTGTAGCTTGTCTGAAAATGTTGTACTATAAAAATATTATAAATTGTCCACAAATGTTAAAGCTTGATGTGTTTATGATTTTAGAGTATTAATGCTAAATCTAAGAATATAACGCAATTCAAAAAGGCTTGGCTATTGAAAACAAGGTAGTAATTTAGAAAAAAATTATTTCATAGCTTATTAAGCTTAACTGATACCCGTATCTAAAACCAACTTAAATAAAAACTAAAATAAAATATTCTTCTATAACTTATCTTAAATTACAAAATTTTATTCAACATGATTAAGACATGTATCAAGTATTTAAAAATATGGGCAAAGTCGATAAGTTCGTTTATTCTGAACATTACCAGTCTTTTGCAGATTCTGTCAACTATTGCATAAAAAACTGGGTTATATCTGCTGAAATTCGAAATGACTCTACAGTATATATAAAGCGACAGTTGAGAGCAAATCAAAATCGAAATTGAGCGCAACGGGTTAAATTTTTTTTAAAAAAATCGCGTAATATATAAATTTATTATGATCCTGCACAATCACTATTATCAATTTGTTTATAATTATATAGTGCGCAATTCGTGATTGAACATGACTACAGATTATGAAAATTGATATAAAATTTTGAAATTTATGCTTTATTTGAAATTTGCGAACATTTGCGAAGTCTCTGCATAATTGTTCCAGAAATTCCAAGGATTTGAGAAAAAGTAAGATTATATGTTGAAAATCTTATTCTTAATAAATTTGTATTTTAAATATTACAAAATAAATCTAATTAATAGTTTTATTATAATTAAAGAAAACTTTATGTTTATTTATATATTCCGATTCTTTTCTTATTTAGTTAAACTTTTTTTCCCTTTGTAATCCTAAATTGTCTTAAGTTATTTGAGGCAGTATTAAAAACAGCTTAAATTTACTTATTTTCTTATATATTCGAATGGATTTTACTCATTTTTTTGTATATTTGCATAAAAAAGTAGTCTGGCAAAGACTAAGTTAACCAACAAAAAAATTCAGTATTAGATTATATGATGATTTAATTAATGCATATGTTTTAATCAACCATAATTTAGCAATATTTTATCAAAAATATAATCATTTAATAACTTACTTTAGTAGTTTTATTTTTATATATCTATTATCCTTAAAAGTTATAAATAAAAATTAGCTATATTCTTTAAAAGTAATAAATAAAAATAAGATATTTAAAAATTAAATATGTCAGTAAAATTATTTATCTTTCTGATTACAGAACAGAAACATTAATGGATAAATTGTTGTGTATGGTGTTGCTGGCTATTCTCATTGTGAACATTGCGAGTCATCCATTTCATTCAAGAACTGATTATAAAAACAATGTAGAATTCAAAGATCTTAGCGCAGAACTCCAAAATGATCAACCCAACCCATTTGCAAATAAAGAAAGAAAAACACAAACTTATAAACAGACTAATAAAAATATGGAGAAAAATATGAAGTCTAGGAACGTTAGTATGGTCGGAATGCCGTTCTCGGTTTTATACATGAACCAGCAACGCATAAAAAGTTCAAAAAATGGTCACAAAATAATAGGTACAGATTCAACGGTCACACCACTACCACGTATAATAAAATCTACTCAAAGAAAAAAATATTCTAATTTTCCACAGCTGTGGGTTTCTTATGGATGGAGACCATCAGCAGGAAAATAATATCAAATATATTATACATGCACAAACTATTGTTTTAAAATAATCACGATAAACTCACATTGACAAATGTACCATAGGTGATTTTAATTAATTTCATATAATAAAATATAGATTTTGCATTTTAAAAAATATAATATTTTTGTATTAATTATAGATATTTAGGAAAAGTTTATACCAATGATATATTATTCATAGTTTAATGATTGTGATATAGAATATGTATAATTTTGTAAATATAAACTACAAGCTACTCATTATTTAAATGCTGATGCCTAAATGTAAACATTTCAAGTCTCAACTTGTATTTGAAATATTAGTCTCGAGTCAAACACAGGTAGATTCATTCATAAGAAAATAAAAATTACTCACCATCCATTTCTTTCATTGCCTTTATGAAATCAGCAGGATCCTTGAAACTAATAAAACCAAAACCTTTGCTTTTATTGGTTCTTTTGTCACGTATCACCTTCGCCTTAAGAAAGGATGGATATTTGTTGAATGTTCGTATCAAAAGTTCATCAGTCACATCATTACCTAAATCACCACAAAAAATTCTAAAATCATCATCTTCCCAATCTTGAAGAGATGGATCTTCCCATGTTTGACCTCCTGCTGTTCGAATAAGCTAAAAGTATTGAAATATATGTTTTAATATTTATGCAAGACAATAATAAGTTAGACAATATTATATTAAATATAACTTTAAATCAAGAAAACATGTATCAATTATTATGTATTATAATAATTTATTGGAAACATAAATTATATGATAAATATTACCTTCTTATTTTTTTTCCTTGGCCGATCATCACCAAAAGATTGTAAACTAGAGGAGGCTTTGCCTTGCATAATTGCTACAGCAGCCATTTCATTTGTAGGTGCTACTTGCTTGGATCCATGGCTTTCACTTTTTATTCGATTAATCCTATTTGTTATGTCTATTTGCATAGATGATATATCCACTTTTGACTGAAAATTGAAAAAGATTTAGTTTTATTAATACATCAATTGTGTAGCTGAAATTCTGACAACTCCAACATATGTTTTTCTAATCAATTATAGGGTTAATAATAATTAAGTGTCTAAAAAAATACCAAAAATTACCTTTTTTTCTTCTACGACTGGTTTATATAACTTTGGTTCACTACTTAGCACTGTTGGTTTAGCAATTAGTACAGGTTCTGCAGAATAAACTTGAGGCGGAGGTTCATATGGTGTTAAAGTTTCTTGGATGTTCTCCATAGGCTGAAAATTTAATAAAAAAATATGCAAATTTCCCATATTTTATGCAAATCTTAAAAAATGAAATCTATTTAAACTAATATATTAATTTTATATTACATACATCAACTGTATGCTGCATAAGTCTTTGCAATTGCGTTGGTAACATCATAGGAGGCGGAGGTTGTGCAATTGAAGTGAACGAAGACATCATTGGGAAACCGATTGATTGATGCACCATTGGATCTGGAATAATATAAAAGCATCATTTCAATAAAGGTAAAACACATTTCAAGAACCCTAGCTAAATGATATAGTAACAAACAACAAAGTCCGTCTTTGGCTAGAAGATCGACTTTTCTAAAATACTCTATTTTTTGATGATAGATTTGAAATTAAAATTGGTTAACCCAACAATGAATATGAACAAATATATAATAACCTGGTGCAATTTGTTGCAGTTGTTGTTGAACTTGATTATATGTGTTAACACCAATAACTGGTCTAGCCATAGTTTGTTGATGCATCAAGGCCGATTGCTCCACGGAAATTTCTGCTTCAAACCTGAAAAATTCATTATTTTGCATAAATAATATAAGTATAGTTACTTGGATTTTATAGGTTGTATTTTGCTCACCTGGACATTTCGTCCTCCATTATCCGAAATTTATCATTTGATGCCATTTTTAATATAAACACTAATGGTTTAAATGTTTGAATGTTTCACAAAATTGTTGCAAATAAAACAGTTTTGTTTAATAGTAACACAAGTCCTATTTGAGCACACTTAATTCATCTTGACTTGACACTGTCAAACGAGTCAAATAGACAAAAAAGACAATAGGAGTGAAGGCAGCAGCGTGGCAATAATACAATTGCAGCCAACTTTATGATGCTAAAAAATACAAATTATCTGTTTAATATTTTTAAAATTTATATTATTACATGCATATAGAAATAATCGTTTGAAAGTTACAAAAGGTAATATTTGAATTTATGCAAGAATTTACATTTTCGAACTTATTGTTGCAAAATTTTTAAACATAAACACACTGATTGTATAATTTAAAGCCTAAAATAATTGCTAGACCCAATATGTATAACAAACTCAAATTGAAGTAATCAAATGAAGTGATTTCTCTAATATAAGAATTGCTTCCTTTTATAAAAAGAAAAATAACTTGATTAAAATACTTACTTACAATAAAAAAGATCTTTAGGCTCAAATTGCACATTCCCTTATGTATTTGTATAATGCACAATAACAGTTATTATAACATTGATAGACTCTGACAGTAATATTATTGCTGATTGTGTATCATGAATTAAAAATACATATTACGTATCACAAAGTTTCATATTTAAATTTTTACATTTCGAATCATTGATAAATAAATATTCATACTACATTCTAAGTTGCTCCGCAACCACATCAGGCAAATGCTTAACTTCCTCATCAAAAAGTGTCAAAGGTGCCTTCATAGTTAAAATTTCTGAATTTTGTTTCCAGAAGCTCTCATGGATCATATCAACATGTATAGGAATAATCACTTGCCTTTCTTTATTAACTTTATCGTCATATACTATCTTACGAACTAAAGTTGTCCCTTTACGGTACATGACAGGTTCATTATTATAATTTATATTGAATTCAGAATACAACAACTCATTTTTATCAGAAGACAATGTTCCACGCAATCTTTCTTCTGCCTAAAATATAAAATAAATATAAATAAAAATAGGTTTATAAATAGTATGATATCAATAGAAAAAACTGAAAGGATTGAGTAGTTAACAAATGAAAAATAATGTAGATTATACCTTGGCTTTTGATAACTTTCCATTTAACACCAGGTTCCAAAAAGAAGTATTATATAAATTATTAACATGTACATCAGCTTGTCTCCAACTAAGATAATCTTTTAAATTTTGATCAGACGGATATAAAACTATTCTTGCATCAAAGCTTGGTGGATAATTTAAATTTTGGTTTCCAAAATATTTTGACCAATTACATACATACGCTGATGTGAACAGGCTACTTACAGTACTCATTATTTTAGCACTTCTACGATTGTACAATGAGGTATTTTTCTTGAATATAAAAGAATATTCATCGCTTTGTCCATAGCTGATTGTTATATCATGAAATTCCTTCATGACTGTCAAAGCAGCTTTGTTCATTAAATTCAATGCTCGTTCATCATTAGGTTTGTTGAAATCATGAGAATCAGCAAATTTGTGAAAATTTTTGCCATCTATTCTGACAACAATCCAGCAATTTTTTAAGAGCTGGTCATCCATTTCGAAATCTTTTACATATTCATATTTACTTTTAGCCATTGCAAACAACTTAAAATATCGTCTAGATTGTAGAAAACAACCAGGGCGAAATATCATAACAAATAAAAAAACGACAATCAACTATTTTGGTCAATCAACGATTGATACAATTTTTCTCCTAGACAATATAATAATTGTAATTTTTTAACCTAAAAATATTGATACAAATAAATAAAACTAAATAAAAAAAGTACACAGTAAACGCTCTGAAGAACTATATAAAATTTTAAATTATGATTAAAAATTTAAACATAAATTTGTAACTCTTTAATGAAACATTTCTTAAATGACATTAGTTATATTTGTTATATTAAAAAAGTTTACGCGAGTGGCGCATGAGTGGTGGCAAAAGCAAGAACTATCGGTCTTTGAGCTGTCAGTTAAGTACAGGACCGCACTTTACACAAATTTAAATTATTTAAACAGATATATAATCTATTTTAAAAAATAAAGATGTAGCACAATTGGTTTCACAATTTAGAGACAGCTCTTTAATTGCTTAATTGCTTAATTTTGCAGCTCTTTAATTGGTCAAAATAATCCATAGATATTCAAAGATATCTTCTATACACAGAATATTTTTAACAAAGTTTTTGCCATTTTATTTTTATCAAATATTCAAAGATATCTATAACTCTTAAAAATGTTCTTATAAATCTAAAATAATTTTACTAACAGTTTCAGCAACCTGTAATATATTAAAACAAAAATTATGGAAAAAACTAAGTATGTATTATAAGAGTATAGCTATTATTTTATTACATAGTAAATTCATAAAAAAAAGCAACAGTAAAAAATCTACATTTCATATTAATGCACAGAGTACAAACTACAATGATGTTGTCAATGTGTGTGTATCATTCATTTAAAAAATGTACATAAAACATAATAAAATGAAGATATATATTAATGTAAAATTACATAAATGTATAAATGGAAATAAAGAAAATTTTACTATATTTTTTAATTTCCTATAGTTTCCTCAGATTCATGATTTAGATTTCAGTATAACAATTTCGTTATAATCTGTGAAAGGTATACAATACTATTTTCTAGATTGCAAGCGTTGATTATTTATAGTAGTCATAATGAGGAAATTAACATTCCTTTAATTGTAGCGGTACTTTAACTGAGATTCTGACCAATAGAAATTTTATCAATCTAAGCTTACAAACTATATATTATTATCTAATTTAAGATATATTTCTTTTGAGGAAATATTTAAATAACAATTTTCCATTTATAGAATATGGTAGATAACATTTCCAATTTTTTCGTTCTTTTATCTTAAATTCATATCAATAAGAGGATATTTAAATTCATTATTAATAATTACTTATAAATTAGAAATACAATCACAGTAAAATGTTTTAAGACCAATTTAAATGTTAATTTTTATATCTATAATTTATATTAATTCTAGTTTATATTAAGCATGTAAGTAAAAAATAACAATTACTTTCAATGTATTTCAATTTACGTGTTTTTGTCATTCTCTGATTTGAATTCATTTACACAGAATAATTTATTATACCTTAATAATCATCTTTAATAACAGTTATGCAGATACAAATTTTGAATTCATTTTTAGGACAATGAAACAAAGAAATATTATGCCAATAGTCCTACTTAGCAGTTCACTACAAGCCGATTAAGATGAGAAATTATTAAAATTGGAATAGTAAAACATTCATATTTATATAAAAGTATTGTAAGATCATCTATATATTCATATATATATATATATATATATATATATATATATAAATGTATGGATGTATGTGTATATGTATTTATATGTGTTTAAATATCTATATATTGACACATTGTATCTTAAAAAATAATATAACATTTGTTTAAAATCATAATAAAATTTTACAAAAAATGTCATATCATAATAGTTTTGTAATGATTAGAAAAAAATTCTTATTTTTCATAATCTATAATAAATTAATGTATCTTGTCCTAATAAATTACAAAACTATTTTGTTAAGAGATTTTGTTCCATTTACAAGTCAATGCTGTATTATTCCATCAATAAAAATTGAAATCTATTAGAATCTTTTAAATACTTTCATCAATATAATAATTGTTTTTTTATCTCTTATTCTAATGTTGTAACATATATTCGCACAAATGCTATGGAATTTTTGTTGAAATATAAAATAATTTCAGTTACAAACATACAACAGTTTATATAATTAAAAGACAGTAAAACTTATAAATTATACACGAATATAATAAAAAGAATTAATTGAATACTGCAATAGTCACAATTCGATATTTATGCATCTGCATCAAACCTGTCCATATCTCAAATATTTCTAACCATGTTCAAACTGTTTCATAATACACACCATAATTATAGTAGCCGCCACTCTACTCTCGCAATTCCTAACATATTTCCTAATAACTGATTTTACTAAACTGTGCACATTAAAATCAAATAACGTGCACAAACAAACATTGTCCATCAAACGATGCGTATACCAAATTTTCACAGTTTTATTATTTTATCAAATCCATTTAAATATATTTCATAATAAGCAGTACTGTTAATAATCTAATTTATCAAATATATCATGCAAAGGAAATATTTTAAATAACAAAAAATCATAACAAGTTTCACACAGATCAATAAAATTGGTTTACGATACACGGTGACTTAATAACTATCTTATACCTAAAAAAAACTAAATGAACCTAACAACTAAACTTATGATCTATAAAACTGTTTCTATTACAAAAAAATAAAAATATTCATATATATTATTTACATAAGGAACCAAAACTTTTCTGTTGTGTAATAGACCTCTTGACTAATATTTAAATTTTAGATTTGTCATAATTAAATAAGGTTCAAGTGCCGAGATAAAATGTTTGCGTATACATAGTATATAATGACGTGTAGTCTTCTAAATATTTTATATGTATGTATATCAGTTCATTTTTATGATAATTGATCAAGACTACATTTAAGCAGGTAAATATAATTTATCTTAGTTGCGAATTCTATTTAAACAAATCACGATTGCTGTTTGACGACTATAACACCGGGTCGACACTGCTGCTGTCTTTGAAAATGTGCATATGTGGTATTACCTGTGGCGATTGAACTCGTGCTAATATTCGGTCGCAAAATCAAATGCGTTGGATGTTGTTTTGGCGTAGTAGTAAGTGCCAAGGGGGCATCTTGTGTCGGTATAGCTGGCACAGACGTCGTATGAGTTAGCAGTGATCTATCATCAAACATGTGATCACCTTCTAAATGACGGATAGCTTCTACAATTGTTTCAAGATTCTGTCGTGTCTTATTTCCGGAGAGGTATGGTCGCGTTTGCTGAGATGTCGCACTCGAATTTTTATCCTCTTCAATGATATCGTCATCGGTACAACTCATCGACAACGGTGCCGATAAGGTCATTATTGTTTGGTTTTCAGCTATTTTCTCAGCTTTGATACTTACATTGACTGCTTCTGTCAGTATATGATCGTGTAAAATTGGTGTGGGTGGTCGTGGTTCTTCCTAAAAGTAGCGAAAAAAGAAATAAATAACATATATAAATTGCAAATATCAAGAACATCCAATAAAAACATTGGTTAACCTTTTCCAAATTATGACTTGCAAAGGGAATAATAAAAAAAATATATAGTGAGTTAAATTTCTATTATTACCTTCACAATGCACGTTGTAGGGCTGGGCGACCTCATTGGTAATGTGACAACAGTCTGTGTAAGTGCAACCTGAGGCAGGCTCTCTGCCGGTACCAAAATCATTTCGTCTTCAAGTCTCTGGACTGTTTTTGGCTCTTGCATCGTTACATTATTGGTGTGTTCAATGACGTCGACTCTATGTATATAGCCACCAGTCTGTGGAGCAGTGCCTTGTTGAAGTGTAGAATAAACGCGTGCTTCGAGCTCCCGTACACGATCTTCGAGCACCGCCCGCATCCTTCTTTCCTGCTCCAGTTGTGCTCGCACCTCTTCAGGTTCGGGGGATGATAATCCTAAAAGTGTGGTTTCTGTGTCATCAATTCCATTTTGTTGATTGGCACTCTGATGATGAGACAGGATGTGCATGCGACGCTTCTTGGCTGGTAGATCACCTCCCTCATGCTGGTTGACCAGGCGTTTTAGTTGGCAGTTCTGTGATAGCAAACGGGTTTTTTCTTGTTCCAGGGAGTAAATATATTCAGCAGTCTGTTGCAGAATCGCGGCCTGCAATTAGAAATATTATTTATAAATAAATATACTTTAAATATAACTTTACATATTCGAAATCAATATCTTGAAATCATATTATTAAACTCATTTATCTGTTATTCATTATGAATTTCATAGACCTAAATGGACTCTTTTAAATCAACACAATAATAATGAAAGATAAATTTTAAGATTTCTCTTCTTGCAATGAAATAAAGAAGCAATTTTTAAATGCACACGCAACGTTAAGAGAACATCTGTCGCCAAGGATAAGAATAACATCTGTTCAAGAAACTTGCGCAAAGAAATAAAATAAAAAAGTGGAGAGACAAGAAGAAATCGCTTGCGAATTGTGACAGAAGAATTTGTGCGTTGCGAACACCGGGAGACTCTTTAAACGGCAGGTGCATCGTCGAAAGGAGAACCAAACGAAATATACAAAACGACTAAAAATCCAAACAATTGTAATGTACATACGGTTATGTTCAACGAAAAAAATTTAAAAAAAGTTATGTAACGACAAAAAGATTCAGGAAATTTATTCAAAATAAATAATTTTCGTTGGTTTTCATGGTTTTTTAATGCGTTCTCAATTCTAGACAGCATTTTACTATCCATTGTAGTACAATGTTGAGAAATCATAAAACACGCAGATTTTTACGCGGCAATAATAATATCGATACCATGATAATAAAAGCCGGGATATAAAAATGCACAATAAGCCATAATATTTGAAGCAATATGAGACATCGATATTTTATTAGATTCGTATAATCATTATAGATTGTATAGAAGCATTATTGTGATAGATTAATAAGCTCAGTAGTACGATATATTACTATTATTTAATATAAAAAACCAGTCGTAATATAGTGGACAAAAAAATACTAGTTCCGTATGCTATATATTTATCGTATTATTATATGTGTATCTTATTCATCTGTTAAACAATATATTTTTCCTCCTGCATGGGAGAACTTAGACTGCGCCCGTAGTTTCACCATAAGCAAAAACAAATTAACAAACCTCAACAAAATTTTCCACAAATCCATGTGCAATATATCATATAACACTCGAGTCAACAATTCAGATTAACAGAATAAAGAATTCAGTCTACAAGCATTTTTAAAGTTGTACAATCTTATTGAGAAACAATCTATTATGCAATATTATTCATTATTATGATGTTGACAGGAAAGAGTTCATTTAACTACATGAAATGATAATAAAAATTGATAAATGTAACTTCTTAAAAGGAGTGATTATTAAGCAATTTTTTGTGATGAATCATTGTGGAAGCAAACTGAATGAATTATTTAGAAGCTTTTTGGTTTCTTTTTTGTGACTTTTTTAATCAAATATCGTAGCATATGCAAAATAAATAAAATACGATAAGGAATGCAATTTTTTAGTCTAAGCATTTCGCGAACAAGAGCCATCCTTGAGCCATGGTACAAAAAATAATTTCCTAAGATTGCGCACTTAACGGCTGCAACTCGATGGCAGCGGAATGTGTGGCCGAGGACGGGAAACCACGATGACAACATTCCCGAGATTCCTTCCCGTGAAACAACCATGATACAACACAACCTGCTGATCAAAGTGTGGGAGACTTTGCATATTATGCGAAACCTGTCGATGTTAGTAATTTAGAGATAGGCATATTGATATTGTACATTCACTCAGAAACGTACGATGATAAAATCCATACTGTAAGTAAATACATACAATCACAAAGCGATGAATAATGAAAATTGTATATAAACCCTTAATCATTGCTATTATTTTTTTCTATAATTTGGGAAACCCTGCAAATTTCACAATAATACAAAGGCCGTTTATTGACACCATCGCTATAAGATTGTGTGAGTTGCAACAAACTTTAAACAAATTACAAGAAATTACACAATACACCTGAATTACTAAACACAATAGAAACTTAACACAGGAACTTCGCATAGAATGCGGTCATGCTTGAGTTTTGAAAATTAATTACAATATTTATTATAAAATTGTTTAAAAAAGAGTTTTTATATTTGCATTGTATTAATAATCAGTGAAGGAGTACACAAAAACCCGAGTATAAATAAAAACTCTGGGTAATTTTTGAACCATTGGTAGAAACAAATGTTTTCCAATAAAGTCATCATTAGTGATTCCTCGCCATCCAGCGACGTTTAGGAATGAACTTTAATTATCTAAACCTAAAGAAAAAGGAAATGGGCATAGAAACATGTTGGGAATATAGTATACTTAAATGAGTTTTAATCTAGCGAATACCGTCAGTGCTATTTTTATTTATCGTTATTAATTTTCTGGTTTACGCATATAGGTAGGCCGAATATGTGCGACGCTGTATCAGTTGCGGCAGCCTAGGACTCGAAAGCATCACAAACATGAAACGTTCGAAGCAAACTATGTTTATGTTAGACAGGTCATGGTTTACAGGCAATCAGCGGGTCTATCGTAGGTCTTGAAATAGCATTTATAAAAACACATGTAGGATTTTATTACCCGTCATATGGCTTTAAAATTAGGTTCGGTTTGGAAAATTACTGCCTAAGATAACATAGGTTATTAATAATCACTAGATAGGGCATAGGACCAAGTGTTCTATATTTAAACATACTTTTTAAATTAACCTGAAAGCCAAATCTCCCGTGTATAATGTAATATTATACTTAAATACCATGTAAGATATGTTTATAAAACAGTTGTAAATACCTAGTCATCTAATATGATAATAGCAGGCTCCAACAACTAGCACATGGCCAGTTAGTTCATGTGAGACGAGAATGTTAAATTATTGATTACTTTATTGTTAGTCATATCTGTATTCAAACGTATTATCAGATATGTCCTCATATGTATCCAAACGTAAACCCTTGTAATTGTAATTTCAGTGTGTAATTTCTATATGATTGATTGAACACACGAGGTACTGTAATTGCCCTTCATGATAAATATATGTAATAAACTGGTTTAGAATTTTTATATCAATCTTTCAATGAAATTAAATTAACATTTTCATATGAAAAAATACAAGTGTTAAAGTTCAATGTAAGATTTTAAGGGCAGAATTTTATTTTATTAGCACTAAATTAAATTGAAATGAAAATAAAAAATAGGGTAATTAATTATTTTATTGATGTATTAAATCAGTATCTTTATTAATTTAGTTAAAGGATATTAGTATGAAGTTAGTTATGAAAATGTAGGGACGTTAAAAGATAGTTGGTTAAGAATTTGAGGATAATTTTGTTTATATAAAAATAAAATACTTTCAGTTAAACAGTGTGTGGCTAGATATGTTAAATGAAACATAAAATAGTTTTATAAGTTTTACAAGTGTGATGTGATTATAAATCTGGAATAGCAATCTCGATCTACTCATCCACGTGTTCAGTATGCGTCTTTTGAATAAAAAAGGAAATGAAGCGAATCGCGCCAAAATTGTGCAGTGCGCGCGCATTTCCATTGGCGCCAATTCAGTCAAACGCACACAAGAAAGCTCATATCTCTTCGGTTGCAAAATGCATTTGTATATGATCGCCACGTACACAGGCGCATTGGAATGCACAACCATTCTGTTTCCAAGCTTTTGGTACATACAACTGTTCACATAAATACATATATACGATGTAAACACGTTGCAAATGTACAACATAGCAAACGTAGTACACATACAATGTAATTCATAGTAGAGGATGTCACGTAGTACGCTACAGATCGCGCTAGTAGTACTACAGAGTATTACTACGGCCGGCAATACGGCGACGCTCCCATTGTCGAATGGGATGATTCAAGGAATCTGGTACACAACGAAAATAATTCAAGCCGGTTCAAATATTACCTACGATAAATGTAAATGCAAGTAACTAATTACTTGATCTCACCCGCGAAAACTTGAAACGAAATTATAAATTGAAAACATTCGAAAAAAAACATAGATTTGGTGCGTATTGGAGCAAACATTCAGGCAAAATTACTTTATATTAAAATTAAATAAATATGAAAATATAAAAAAATGACGCAAAAATCTGTTAATATAAGGATACGTAATTAAATCAAAACTACAAAAGAAATCATTCGAAAATACATATTCGTGTTCAAAAGCGTTAGTACATAAATATAAATAAAAACGTTATATCGCAAGCTTTGTAACTCAGAATTACCCTTAAAAAGCTGTTTCATAGCGTAATCTACTTTTATTTTTATCGCTGCTTTTAGTGCACACAAAAACTAAAAGCTATACTCCACTGCTACACAGCACTACCAAGCAGATTGTAAAATAAATAATAAAATCTTCTTGAGCTTTTACAGGATTAGAAGCTTTCACAAACCTTTATACACGTTAAGCATATATCTTTATGAGTAGTAAGTGAAATATATTAGCAATATTAAATAACAATAATATTAAATATTATTATGATTTATTAAATATCATATTGTTATAAATTATGAAATACTTAAATATATGAGTTTGCATAAATGAAACAATAATTACTGATTCGCTCAAAAATAATATTTGGACATAGTCTGAATTACAATAATAGAAACATATGGTTTGGAATGGGAGAGAGAAATACGATGCCGGGCGTCGCGCCGGTCTATCGATCGACATTGTGTGGGAGCTCATGCGACCCACGGCACAGGTTAAAATCGCCTCTCAGGCACCCTTACTATCTCGAAAGTGGGAAATTTCGCCATCGGCTTGAACAACCTGAAGCTCGAAAGGGGTTAAAACTCCCACACGTACGACGCACAACATAGGAAAAGGTGAACGCACTTACCACGCCCTGTATAGAAATCGTTGGTTGGTGGGTGGGCGAGAGTGGTTTAGTTCAGAATTTCTTTCAGAAAAATAATATTTTTATTACTTCTTGCTTCCATTAATGGCGTCCATTAATGATCGATTTTAAAGAATTTTTGAACATATTCTCCACCTTGATGATACGTGATGAAATTTAAATAAACCCCCACCTCCTAAACCAAACATTAGTGTTTTTTAGTAC